AGGCTAGACACCGCACCAGCCACTGGCACCGTTATTATCATACACTGTTGCCTTACGTATAGTAGTATAGTTAACGCGTATCGAGCTCGACAACGCGAGCAAACATATTTACTTACATACATCGCGTACTTCTCTCGCTACTTAACATATTGTTGACCTATTAGCGCGTGAAAAAATTAACTCGTGCAAACGTACATTTCCGTAATTGAACAAAGAACGAGGCGAATAAATTTTTAAAATTATTTTTAAGGAAATTTATGAAATAGAACGCGCGAAACCTATAATCGCGATTTTATGTAATTTTATGCAATTACGAAAAAATATATTCATTTATGTAAATATACGAATATATTCAATAATTAGACCGGTTGACGAATACTATCGGCTAAACATTTTAGTTTCTTCCACGTTACGTTTCCTGAATGCTGATCACAAATTTTTCCTCTATATTCTGCTATGCAAACACAAATATATTTCTGGCTAAACAACGGTATTTAAACGTATGCGCGTATACACGGTGTTGATAAATTGTTGAAACGATTCTGCAAACAAACATGACGATTAATACGCAAAAACGTGGTTTCAGATTTATTTCTCTAGTTATACGAGAAATGACTACGTATATGTAATAAGAAAATTGTATTTATTTTGTATATGTAATAAGATAATTGTGTTTATTCGTTTTTATTTTTTTATTATATATATTTGTCGGAGAAGAGTCAGGAACAGGATTGTGGGCGTTTGATAGACCTCCCTTGGAGTTGGCCATCGTTGTGTGATAACGAAGACGCGGCCTGATGCTACGAGTATGGACACCACCGATTCGACAATCAGCAGCGGTGATTGGGCATTTGCGATGTTAGCGACGTTGGTCTTAGGTTCGATGACGAATGCACGGTCAACGGGATGGAAGAGATACTTGCTCTAACTCAAACTGACTGATCGTCAGGCCCTGCTCCCTTCGTCGGTGGGATCTCAAGAAAGAATGAATCTTCGTCCCAATGACGCCACAGAGGAAAACTATGATGGGGTGTGTCTAAAGACACGAGATCATCGGATCCGTCGGATATAGCCCTCGTTCCGAAAGTAAGGGAAATTGACGTCGCTGTCGATTGGTCAGTTTGGGACAAAGACTGTCTGTCCGTTTGGAAAATCTTAATTGCCTAAAAAACCCAGGTTTTATAGCGGGTCCTCGGGCTAACTGGACTTGTGCCGTGTACGTGCCTCAACATCAGGTATTCATTGTCCGAAGGAACCGTTGGAATGTTTTACTGTCAAGTACCTCTATTGGTATTTCTTTTAACGAGGGTCATACTATAATTCCATACCTTTGCTAGGCGAAGCACCCGTCCCGTTGACCGCGGCTACGTTCGGCGACTGATGGTCGCCTTGAGCCCAAGTTTATTATCACAAATCGCAAACAAGTACAATTGGGCAGGATGACGGCAAATTGTTTAATTACGACTGTAAACTTTAATTGCAATTTTACGGATTTTCCCGAAGTTCGAGAGGGACGGCTCCGGTGTCCTTTCATCTCCGACATATTTAAAAGAAAAAAGACGCGGTAGTTTGAAAATTAAAGAGATGTAAGCATATGGAGGAATAAATATCTTTAGTCGAAAAGAAGAAAATTCTTGCACTGATTCGAGACACCGTGAAGAAAGTCTACAGTATCGGGAAGCCTTTTATTCCTAATCGAAGGACGAAGCCGTGTGGAAGCCGTCGATCGCCGGAAATTGTCTTGGACCAGCGCGCTTTCTGCGTTCCGGGGATCGATGGAGCGCTATCTACCCTCTGACGCGTCCAAAATCGACTTGCAACCGTGTCATCGACGATCGATGAACCCCCGACATTCGACAAAGTAAGACGCAGTACTTGAATTGTTTCGGTTACGGAACATTCGGTCGATTGATTAACCCAATTCCCAATGCCATACAAAACAATGTCCAGTCATTCTGCATGATTTTACATTTCGACACAATTTGTATCATAAGTATGACGACGCTTCTACGTTTACTATTAGAATATGAAAAAGTAGATTTTCATAAAACATTGTATTTTACAAATCTATTACAAATGTATTAGGTTGCCTGAAAAACGTCTTTCTTTTACAGACACGTCTTTTACAACGACGCATCTTTTTACAAACATGAAACCTAATCCGTCGAACGTTGTGAACTTTATTTTGATACAACAAAATGGATCATACGTAATTCGATAGAATAATATAAAACGGAAAATGTCGTGCTTCCATTATTTCCTTATAAAACGAAAGATACTTTTCGGACGACCTAATATGTGCGTGCACAGCGTCTCGTAAAACAGATGAATACAATTGTTCCGTTGATAGTGTGGTAAAGAAGATGGTGAGACAAAGAGAATGCTGAGACTCGTGTAAATTTGTATCGACGAATATCTTGCAAATCACATATTAAATAAATCTGAAACTATTTTGATATCAATTCTAAGTGTAATCTAAGTGTTGCTACACATTTATTTCGGCGATTAAGATCCACAATTCCCAACAGATATAAATTTTTATAAAATATAAAGGTATAAAATATTATCAATATAAAATTGGAAATATTATATTAATAATATAAATATTTATATTAATAAATATTAGGTTGTCCGAAAAGTGTCTTTCTGTTTCAGACACGTCTTTTACAACGACGCATCTATATGCAAACATGAAACCTAATCCGTCGAACTTTATGAGCTTTATTTTGATAGAACAAAATGGATCATACGTAATTCGATAGAATAATATAAAACGGAAAATATCGTGCTTCCATTATTTCCTTATAAAACTTTTCGGACGACTTTGAGAACGACAAGAGTTGTAACGAAGACAAAGAGAAGAAACACGAATTAACGATTAATAAATTTTACTATTAGAATTATTATTCTATCAAAATTTTTATTCTTCTTTTGCAAAGCTTGTATTACGACGATTTTCACCGGTAAAAATGACGGATCTTAGACTCTTTACTTTTACTTTTAACTATCAGAGATATTCCAGTGTTTTTGACAAAACGAATGCTAACTTTTATTGAAATGGAAATACGGCTTTGTACACTATTTTATTTATAATATATCATTTTAATTAAAATCATCTATAA